AGTCGCTGGAACTGATGCAGAGATACATAGTCGATGAACACCCACTCCTTTCCCGTGAGAGCCTTGGCTAGCTTGGAAACCTGGTATCCATAGGGGTCGCAATGCTCCCTCGCCTCCCAGCAGTGGGACACCGAGATTACCTGGGTGCCTTCAGGCGCCTTGCCATCGGCCCAGACTTGGACCTCGGAAGGGTGACAAAAAGTCAGAGGGAGACTTCGGGCCGCCGCGTCTTTGAGCAGGGAGATTAGTGCAAATGGCAGATCGCGCGCCTCCTCGTGTGTCACAAGCGCAGTGCGGCAGTCCACGTAGGCGGACTCCGCTTCCTGGCGCCGCGGGAGACGCTGTCCTTCCCGGTGCAGCTTCAGAATGAAGTCGGCTCGCACCTGGGCAGGACGCTTCATTGCTTCACACAGCAAAACCGTCAGAGGTATGATCCGTCACATGTTGATTCTCACGCACAGCAGGCAAGATTGGATGGCTGCAGGCCTGCCATCGGATGGCTGCAGGCCTTTGCAGATTCAAAGCACTGCAGCCCGGGGTGTGCACCAAGCGGATGTCCGCATCTTTCAGGAAGTCCGCAAGCCCCTGCTTCTGAGCCAGGTCGTAGCGCTTGGACTGGCGCAGGCGTTTCGCGACATCGCATTGAATTGGATGAAGTTGCACAGTACACACAAAACGCTCCAGCCTTTTGCGGCTGCGGAGCTGGATCCGGGCGGCGGAGGCGGCGTGCCAAGTCCTCGCAGCTCAGCAGCCCCTCGCCTCCGCAAGGAAGCATCAACCACGAATCATCTTTCCGAAAGCACACGGCACACAGCGTTTCTGACCCTGATGGTGCTTTTTTATTCCTAAGCTCCCAACGATCGGGGACAACCTCCTGCAAGATGTCCTGACCGAGTCGTTCGGAGCGCAGGCAACAAACTAGGCTTGCAGTCCCTGCCTGGAGCATGTCCACGGTGAAACGATCGCCTGACGCGCTCTGGGGGAATACACGCGTGACATCGTAAATCCCAGCAAGATCTTGAGGCAGCTGCAAGGCTCGACGGCATGTATTGTAAGGCTGCTTCGCAGTACTGCACTGGCCATGCAACAGTTGGAGAGTCTAGGCCCGTCTATGCGTCGCTTATTGACTTCGAGAAGTCTCTAGTAAGAAAGGTTTGGACTCGCCACATGCCACCCAGCTAAGTCCTTTGCCTTAGTCAAAGGTATAGCTGAAAGAGAAAACATGTGCTGCCTTATGAGCTTGCCGCATTAATGGCAAATCATTTCTGACTTCTGAAGGAAGTTGAAACCCTACTTGCAGCTGAAGGCTCTGGCCTTTAAGGTTCCTGACGATGACGCGGAGAGCGTCCTTGGAGATCCTCCGCGTGCCCGGGCCACCCTGGCAGAGGAGAAGCGGACAAGAAACAGTCCTTGCTCGCTTTTTGTTATCCGGTTCGCTCGCTTCATGAAACCCCGCATCGCACTCCGAACACACAGAGACCCCGAGTCTGCATTTCAGCAGACTACAAACCGACTGCAAGAAGCAACACAGGCGGAAGGCTCAGCAGGGTGGAAGAAGAGCAAAATCAGCTACTCCATCCGAGGTCATAAGCAAAAGCAATTCCGGCTCATGTCCAACTCACCAAGAAATCCCCGCGCGAACTGTCACCGAGACAGAGCTACAGACCGAGCAGACACCGCTCTGCCTGACCTGCCTGAACATGATGCCATAATACTTGCAGGGTTTGGTGTTGTCGTCACCCGCCCTCCAGCCCGTGGCACCAGCTGGATGTCCGCATCTTCGAGGAAGTCTGCCAGCCCGTTTTTGTCTGCGAGGTCGTACTCCTTCGCCTGCACGGCCAAGCAACGCCTCTCTAAAACGCAACAACATCCCAACTAGGAAACATCCTCGCCTCACTTGGCGCTGCTGGTCTTCATCGGCTTCTCGTGCCCCCCAAGAATGACCGAAACGCGGAGCACGCCGGAACCCACAGAGAGGAAAGGAACCCTCCGGGCCTCAGTCGCCATCCGAATCCTGGCCCTCGGCCTTTCCGCGGTGGAAGAGTGAAGAGTCAGTGAAGAGTGTCTACGGGAGGATGACTCGCAAGAGGGGTTGGTGGAAGGCTTGGTGTGGAGATTCGGAGGTGGGAGTGGCGGTGCCTTGCGATTAAACACTTCTTGGCCTGGGTTCCTGGGTTCCTGGATGTTCAGTTTGGTAAACCTGCAGAGCACTTTCATTTCGAGGCCTCCGACCAACGCCTTCGATACCAACTGTTGGACGAATGGCCCGCATCCGAGCGGCAGAATCCGCAACCGGATTTGCCAGCCTGTACGAGCACCGCA